CCAAGATTCCAGAAGCCCCACCGCGGCCCGTCAAGCGGACCATTCGGTCCAACACTCCTGTTCCCCTCCCAAAGGGTGGATAAGCCCGAGGAGGATAGTAACAGTATATAGATCATGCTACTAAACATGTTCAGTGTGTCCAGATTAGGGGGGGGGGGCTTCCTGGGTCTTGTCCACACAACATGCCCAATTACCCACCAAAAAGGGTGGATCTTTTTTTGGGGGGGTAAGCATATATATATATATGTATATATATACATACACACAGTGTATAAATATATATATATACATACATACATATACTTATACATGTACATATACCTATGCATATACATATACATATGCATATACACATACATATACATACGCATACACGTACACATACACATACACATACACACGCATACACATACACATACACATGCACATGCACATGCACATGCACATGCACATGCACATGCACATGCACATGCACATGCACATGCACATGCACATGCATACATACACATGTATATGGTCAGATAAACAACTGCTAGGTGCGAGCCAAGAAACCGAGTCCAAGGCAACATTGCTGCATCCTGTTCCCAAGTTACCCGCAAACACACCGCTCGGATGTACTCAGCGTCTGTGACAGTACCCTTCAGAGTGGCTTCTGGCCTGTACCGCTTGTGTCTGAGATGAAGATCACGCGTTGGCTGGAGCGGAAACCCGTCCAAGGGCCGAGGCTGCAGCCTTGGCCTGCGAGGCATTCCAACGCTCCCAGTGAAGTCACCTGAACAGTTTGCACCGTCGGAGCTTTCGCAGTTGCTGGCATGTTCGGTGAAGCCAAGCAACTCCTTCCACATCTAGCTGCCCTGCTTCGTTGGTGAACTCATCCGCGCTGCTGCATGCCGTGGAATCCACATCAGGGCCGTCGGTGCTGGGGCAGTGGCAGACCTTGTACGTGCCGGACACAAGCTTGCCCAAGGCGAATGTCAGCGCCGGTGGCGAGCCCGTCGTGGTGTAGGACATTCCTCCTACAGCGGCATCCACACCGCAGGTGCCGGTGGAAGCGATGATGTGGATCACATCACTTCCTGTCCGCACAATGCATCCTACGAACAATCGCACGACACGGCCACAAGCACCAAACACTATCAGACCCTGGCACCATAGAAAGGTTGAATGTGAATTCAGATCTACAAAAGAAACGGAAATTCCGCGAACGCCAGTGCCGCATTTCACGTTGGATGCGGTCTGCTTTTTGGCATTTACTGGCTTGTTGCAACGCTATAGAACCAACATCCGAAACATGTCTCAAGCTTGCCCTCGTACCACTACCCGCCCAGAGTTCGGAAACATCTCTCTCCTGTGCAATATCCAATCCCTGCTACATCGCACGCGCTGCATCTAGAGCAGTTGCTCTCAATTCTCTAACCAATACGTGCTACACAACCCAACTAAACAGACGTAAACGATCGGTGGGAAATCATGTGAAACATCAGAGCCTCCATCCTGAACCCTAGACCCTAGCCCTATGTAATCCTTGCAATCCACCCGAGGCCCGTAGAAGCAAGCTGCAGTCCACACCGGCATTGCAAGCAAACACCTGGGGGCTCACAAAACAAGCCGTCGGCACCATATGTGATGCATTCGGAAGCTGCCCGTTTCGGAACGCACAGGCTTCCGGAACCTTGCACGCACAGTGAATGAACTTTGTTAAGGCACGCCCCCACCCGGCGTGGCTGGCACGTTGATCACAGTCAAAGTGCCGAGAGCCACCTTGGAAGCTCTGCGAAGCTGAGGCATCGCAAAGAGAGATAGATGCGGACCAAGCGACCCCAAAGCCACTGCTGACAGCACAGCTGCCTGCAGCACTGGCACAGAAGCAGAGGTTGTAGGTGCCAGCGGTCGCCACCTTCGAAGCTTCAGGGACACCGATGCAACTACTTCGGACATCTCCCATTGCATAGACGAGACCCCGACAGTGAAACTGACGCCCAGGTCTTCGTCGATTATCAGTGGATCAACCTGAGATTGATGATGGCAATTGATGGCAGAGAGAATCAGGAAACAGGCGTCGGGAGTTGAATCATTGCTGTCAACTGCTAGCTCGCTTGAGCTTCCCATCGCTTGCGCAGTCGTGCTTGATGCAAGAACAACTTGTGCATCTTTTAACTGGTACATCCTGGAAGCGCCACAGACATGGGAGGTGCTAGACAGCACGGCAAGCTTGTCAGCCGCCAACCTCGACGAAACGTGGGCCGTTCATTCCAACAACCATGTCGATACGAGAAACTTGCGGCTATGCCGGATGAGAGTTGGCCTTCGCGGTATGATCTGCTTGCCGGGTAGCAGCCCGACCCCCAGGACGGAAACTGAGCAACTCTCCCCCGCATAGCACGTCTTGTCCTGGAAGCGTCGGCCAAAAGGTCGAAACGATGCCTCTTCAAGAAAAATTTCCCCATCTCCTGCTGCAAAGGTGTCGGGCCCGAGACCTGCAGAAGCAGCCGTTGACCAAAGAATACTTCAGCGCCTGGTCGGCCTAGCGGCCTATAGGGGCCTAGCGCAGAAGCCCGAGCGGCCTCCAGGCGTCCTGCAGTTGCGGTGTAGTCCTGGTAACCGCTGCACGACCCGGTGCTGTCTGCAGCAGGGCAGTAGCAGATCCTCGGCGAGAAAGCGCGGGTCAGGGGCGACTCAACCCCTGCTTCTGCAAAACCCTGTGCTTTGGATTCGGCCAATTCCCGAAAACCAATGCTCCCGATTCCGATGAGAACTGTTGGCGTGGCTGTCCAATGCCTCAAACCCAAAAACATTCACGCCTCGCTTTAGCGAAAGATTTCCGAGAGCAGCCGTGGAAGCCCGAACTCCCAAAGACTCTTCGCATGCATGCCCAATTAATCCCGTGGAACTTCCCGCCTCCAGCGACCTCCACGGTCAAAGGACTGGGCAGTGCCTGCAACCACCCCCCGGCTTCCGTCCTTAGCTTTGCACCCCAAAGAAAGAATTTACCGTGGAAGTTGCTGGCCCTCCAAAGATGCGGCGGTATGTGCTATGATTTGATGGCAGTGTGCACCGATCTAATGTTTTGGTTTTGATGGTGGAAGATCCAGTCCAAGGAAGTACATCATCGGTTTTGAGGCCCGGACCATAGAAAGGTCAGGGTCGCCATCGCTGCTTCCGCAAGTGCTGCCATCAGCAATCAGGAGCACCTGTAACAACGCTCTTCTGGTCTCGAGCAAATTTGTTAGCTAGATTTACGGTATCTGCATGCAAGGGTAGCGTGTACTAGCAGGGTCCTGTAAGTGCCTTTCCGCCAGACCAATGTCTCAGCAAACAGCGGGCAGCCCGTCCCGAACCTGAACCTCCTGCAGAAGGCCTCATCCGCGCCAGTCACTCCGGATCCAGCGTAGGTTCCAAGGCTGCAGGTGCTGGCCGCCGTGCTCGACACAGTGCACGTATAGTCCTGGTTTGAAGTTGCTTGCATCATGTCTAACCTTTGGATACCTCTCCGCGAACTACGGTGCGGACTCTATGCTTGGGCTCTGGGACGCCGACGTCCTGCGAATGGCGTCGTCGGAGAACACCAGAGAACACCAAATAAAATCAATGTCGAAGTTAGCCGTGCATATGTGGCGACCCGACTTCAATTGTCTGCACAGCTATAGATGCGTTGCATGTAAGTGAAAGTTTCATACATCTATGACCGCTGCGTGCGCTGCATCGTGACTTCTTCTTTGGTCCTCTGACCCTTTTTGTTTCGACTGCATCTTCGTATGCTGGCTTTGACACACCTCTCCGAAGCGTGCTTGACTAACCGTGTGCATGTGCACAAAAACCACATGCACACGAATAAGAAGCTGCTTCTGGGATTCATGCTTCCACCGAAATCCGGCCTGCACCGGGCTAGGGCCGCTGGCCGTCAGCAACAGGGCTGAAGCACCGAAGTCGGAAGCCTGGTCGCCTTGAATGTCGGGCGCTTGTCGCCGGATCTTCGGGCTTGGGACTCCTTGGGGCTTGGGGGCTGGGCTTTCTGCTTTCTCCGGATACCCTGCATCCATTCAAAATGATCTGCGATCACTTCAGGGGCTCTCGGCAGTTGAGAGTGCTTCTGGAACAAGAAACTTCACCGGGGAAATGGCATATCTAGCAACCCAGCACTCCACTCTCCAGCTTCACGGACAATGCCTTTCCCATGCACCTTATCTACCTTACTCTTGCTTGGGACCGGGATGAGCGGCACGAGCTTCGGCTGGCAGCGCAGTAGCAGAGCTCCCAGTCTCCTGACGCAGCAAATCTCCGACAAAGAATCAAAGTGTCCACTGGTGTCTTGTCTAACAACGTCAGCACAAAGAGAAACCTCGCAACAGCTCCGACCCCTGAACCTTTGTATCAAGACATCTCAAGCAACGACACAACGCAATGGCGGATGCCCGCTCTTTGAGTCGCCCGCAAGCTGCCTGACCTGTCGCAAGTGCCGTCGAGGCACCACCCGTCGGCAGATCGAAGCTAGACAGCATCCTGTGGCCGTGCGTCAAAGCCCCGGCTAAGGACGGCTGGGAGCAGCTACCTTCTTAAGGCCACCTTGCCGAAGCCATACCTAGCCGCGTGCAGCCAAGCTTCACTGTCCCCGTAGCATCTAGGCGCTTGGCGCTACCTCCGTGCGGTTGGTGGGCAATGGGCCGACTACCACCACGGTCAAAGACAATAACATGCTGGTACGGTCTAGGTCGGGTTTGTCAGAACGGTGCCGACAAAGAGTTCAACCAAGCAAATCAGAAACAAGCCCCTCACTGCCCTGTGCTGGCGTGATGATTAGCATGCCTGCCCCCACCGCAGCAGATGCCAGTGTTGCACCGCAGCCTCCCACCACTGCAAGCAAGACCTGTCCGCCAATCGAAGACCGCAGGGGATTCGTTGCACGAGCGCATTGTCTGCATCAATGCTGAAGGGAGGTCAGCATGCCAGCCGACCAATTGTCACCCATCAAAACACGTCCCGGCGTGACATTCGTCCGGTGCCTGGTCTCCTTTCACGATGCCCTGGCCCGCCAGGCTCACGAGGGTGCAGCTGGCGCCCGCCGCACAGGAGTCTGAAAGCACCGACGATGGGCCGAGGACCTCACGCTTTTGCTCCCTCCCGGGCTCTCTCTCTCAAAGCAGCCGCAGGTTCCCCAAAGCTGGGAATGCAGCCTCCAGCAGGCCAAAGGCGGAGACGGCCACCGCCCCAGAGCACACCCCTCCCATGCAGTGGCACACGGCGTATTGGCCTGGAGTGGGGGAACAGGGCAGACAGACTGAGAACGACGGGAGTCACGGGAGGTCCGAGCCGGTCTGCAGACCACTCATCGGCAGAAACAGCAGCCAGGCTTCGCAGTGTTCCCGTGCCTCCGGGAAGGACTTGAGGCGCAGAGATCTGCACATATGCCGCATTGGACGTTACCTCAGGTCTTGAGGTTGAAGTTGCTGGGACCCCCTGTTCCAAGTTCACACCAGTGTTCACACCCCGCACCTGGATCTGCTGGAGCCGATCGCCGCCTGGAAACCTCGCGGCAGTGCCACGCGGCTCTGGGTCGTGAAGAAGAGTGATTGATGTCAGGCTGCTCATCGCGAAAGCTTGAGGAAGGACTTTGCATCTGTCTTGTTCCGCATGGTTGCATACAACCCGCCCGGAAACCCCACATCCTCTGCAGAGCTACATAACCGAGCCATACCAGACCCTAAACCTATTACCCAAGCGGGCCACAAATTGCTCCAAGGCACGACGACCACACATAGGAGCTGCAGCAGGTGTCCACAATCTGACCAGGGTCTGGTGTACAGTCGATGATCCCCACCTCCAAGCAGACGGTGCGAAAGTCTTATAGTCTTGCCTCTTGACTTCAAAGCTGGTGCTCTGGCTAAAGGGCTCTGTGCTTACAAGCCGCATAATCTGCACCGCTGATCCCGAAGCCGCGGTACTCTCCCAGGGTGCAGGCCACTCCGGTCACGCAGATCCTGGGTGGCAAGGTACCGCTGCAGCTGGAACGAGCCCGGACACTGTTACCAGATGGCGAGACAAGTGTCTGCGTCTGAGTGGTCGGAGCTGGCCCGACAACACTCAGCATCCCGACTGTGCCAGTGAAGTCCAAATCCTGGCCGTGAAGCGGGCAACATAAGCATACAGAAGCCACAGCAACCAATTGGTGCTCAGTACTGCTCCAGTAAACAACAGGTGTCCGCGTGTCCGCGACACATGACAGCACAGCTGGACATGGGTAATTTCGAAAGGATGATCGCAATGACAAAATATCCAAGTGTACTCTTCACCTTTATAGGTGCTATAGGTCGTTATACGGTTATACCCTCACCAAGAATGCAACTAGTCGGAAAAAAAACATTGTCCTGAAGGCATGTTGTGCTCGAGGAGCAGTAGCACATCAGCCACTGGCCACCCAGGGGCAGATCAGAGGCCGTCACCTGCATTAGAATCAATGAGGCACCCTCCCACGCCGATTGACAAACACAAGCTCGCAAGCCATGGCGTCGTGTCTGGCGTGTCGCCCTTTTGCACAGACTGAAGCACAAGGCACCGACACCGTGCCGTCGGCTGCGATGGTTAGGGCGCTCCCTGAGTTCCGGGAAATTCACACCGACCAAGGGTAAGAAACTCTGAGCACGAAAAGTACGGGCAAGCAGCCCTGCCAAATAGAAGTGTCTGCAGCACTGGTGCCACAGCTGCCCCCCTGAGGCGGGACAGAGTTCTGCTACAGCTACCCACTGCTTCCCTCCTGTTTACCTTTCCGTTCCTGCTGGCCTTCGCCACTACGATGACTTGGTCAGAAGCTGCGATGCCCTCTCCAAGCACCCAAAAGCTGCAGGCTGCCCCTGCATGGCAGGTCACATGACCTTGCCGGGGTTGCTTCGGACGTGGATTGAAAGCCGCGACAAACAAGCGATCCTCTTGCAAGCTCATATCTGGCAAGCATCTGGTTCCGTTTGGTCCGATGACGGTCAGCATGCCAATTGCAGCGGTGAAGTCCTTATACAGTAAAAGCTCAGCAATGCCCGATTACCGACCAAAGCGACCTTAAATTCATCGGCACGGTTGGGAAGGTCTGCGAGCCGTGGACAGAATCTTCAAGCCAAGAAGCACCCACAGAAGCACAGCCGCCAGAGCTCTCAATGCAGTGGCAGATCTGCCATTCATGTCAATGTGGTTTCGTCAAAAGCGTGCACAATCAAGGAAACAAGGCTATTCCAGTCACACTGAGCCTGCCAAGTGCCACCAGTCAGCTCCGCCGCCCGCCAGGTTTCTGCAGCCAGACGCAGGGAGGGTCCCACGCCTTGGAAAGGTCGCACCACCTACTCGCATTTGCAGGCGACGGCCAAAGTCGAACCCGATGCAGGACATGAGGAGATGACCGAGTGATGTGAGCCGCTTCGCTTCCCCGAAACCAGCAGCTGCATCCTCATTCGACTGCCAGGCTGAGGTATGCACATGGAGGTGACCCACGACCAACGTGGCAACATCTCACCACTGCATACGAGAAGCCACGCTCCCACTGCCACACAATCCAGAGACGAGCAGTACCTGCAGAAAGGATGTGGATGCTTGGGAAGCATCTAGGTATTCTCGTTTTTTGGTGGAAAAGGGGTGAAGGTTTGCGTACGTACCCGGCGTCCTCAATTGACGACAGCCCTGCCTTGTCGTCTGTGGACAAACTTTGGCCCTGGATGCTGGCCTTGATGCATCATGACGTCGCATCACACCCTGCCCCTTCTTAGACACTGTCCGGCGGCAGGAGCAGCAATGTATTCAACTTGCAACAAGAGGCTGCACCAACCAAATCGCAGGCGCTGCCGGCGAAACATGTGGCATCCTTGCAAGGTTTTGTTCAGTTGCCTAACCTCAGACCCGATACATACGTCCTCTGGCAGGTGTTGGATTTCTTACTCTTTTCTTCGAATGGGGATGTATTTCCCGAGCAACTGCTCAGACATGGACCCCTTGCAAGTACGTCACATTCCCTGCGGCCAGCAGGGCCTGGTCGTTCGGCGAGGGCCCCAGCACCTCCGCACGTCGGATGACACAGGGCTGAGGACAGCCGCTGCGGGCCAAAAAAGTGTGCCAGGCCGGCCGTGAGCAGCCCCAAGCGAGCTCCAAAGTCAGCAATGGCCGTGCATCCGCCAGAGCCTCCACCAGTGCAATAACACCTGGTGCGGACACGCGGACACTGTGACAAAGCGCGCCATGACCGTGACACATCTTCACAGAAGACCAGCTTGACCCCGAGCCACTAGTCCCTGCCGAGTCACATCTTCCACACTCCTCCGCGAGGGAGCTGTGCGGCAGTCAAGTTCACCATGAGGCCTCGGATGACCGGAAGACCCCCGATCTTCCTGAAGCTGGAGGTCGCTTCGAGACACGGCGCATACTGAGTCAGGAGGGCCTTTGAGCCAAGCTGCCAGCATCGAGCTGGACAAAAGAGCCAAAGGTTGCATCGAAGATGGTCCTGGACCAGCATCTCGACAGAAATTCGTAGCTTCCAGGCACTCCCCGAGGCACCGACCCGGCATCACCACAGATTCCCACTGCTTGATGGACTCCTGCGGCTGGAAAGTGGCCAGACACCGTCACCTGTGCCACATGCGATGCTTCAGCGCTCTCGGAGCCTTCCTTTGCGGCTGAGCCCTCCACGAAGGCCACGAGGTCCTGGTCGGAGAGGCCCTGACCCTCGATGGGTCCGAAGCCTTGTTGTCTCTTCATCCGATAGGTAGCAAAAATGCTCTTGGTTGCTTGTGCCAAGGAGCTGCAAGCTAGCCCGGCCGTGCATGTGGCGTGCTGGTCCCAGCTAGGCCCCAGGATGGTCAGGTAGCCGAGGCGAGCCGTGAAGAACCCGTCCTCTTAAAGTTTCAGAAAAGGCACACACAAAGACAAAAAATGGCCGATCGACTTCTGCCCGCACCTCCGCGCAGCCAAAGTAGTCGGCACAGTAGCCTCAAGCCCCGGTGCAAGAAGATTGTGTGGCAGCACATGTTTGTGAAACCCGAGGCGCGTGTCTCGTCTAGGCTCAGACATGCTTTCAAAAGTCATGACCCTCGCCCTGAAACTCTCATTTGTCATAGCCCAGGTGCACATCTTCCAAACGCCGCCCCGGCGGGTAAACCCTGTTTCGCCACCAGTGGCAGGCAAAGAGAGGCTCGCATCCAGTGCCTGGAGCAGGGCGTTGGGAGCAGGAGTCCAGGAGGGTCTTCAGCTGTCTAGCCAACGACACAAACCACTCAACAACTACAACAAGAGGGCACAAAGCCACTACAGTACAGACCGATCAATGCAGGTTCTCTTGGCATTGCTTTCATCCGCTACCAAGCCATCTCGCTGTGATTACTGCTTGTGTGGGCCTGCCAGACGCCGCCCATTATGGGTGAAGGGCCCGTGTCCTGCGCAAGCCATCTGCGCCCGACTGCTTCAGCGAAAATCTGCGACAAGAAAATCGCTGCATTTGGATCCCGAAGCCGCAACATCTCCATTCCTGAAGTCCAACTACTCGAAAATGAACTACAAATTTTGCTGACGGTGCTGTCTTTCCAGACTATTCCGCGAGGGTCCTGAGCGCTCACTCCACAGGAGGAGATCGGGAGTGGGAAGGAAACCTGATCAAGGAGCGAGAGGGAGGTGCAGCTGGACTGTGCAGGCCCAGTGCCGCCCCTAGGCTTTGCTGCCATGAGTTGGGGCTCGTGTCCGGCTAAGGCTGGAATGTCTGGAGAACCCTTTCACACGAAACAGTCGCAAATCGAACCACCGGCCGTTCATCATGTCGTGAAGCTCGAGGTCTTGCAACATCTCACAAGAAAGGCACGGGCAAATTGTTTTCGGTATCGACCGGATTGGAGAAACTGTTCAAAATAGAAAGAATGACGACTTGTGGAAGTTGGACTTCCGACTCCTGATACGGCGCCGCCCCCCACGGCAGATCCACATGTCCTTGACTGACTCCCGAACTTGGGAAGCATCCGCGGCTGCACAACCAGTCATTTCCGACTCGGCTGCAAAAACTCGTGCGAAATGGGTTGGTGCTAATCCTGCTACAAGGCTGGAAAAGACAACAACAATGAAAAAGTTCCTCACGAGCAACTAGCTGTGGCAAAGGGGGGGGGGGGCACTCTGGAGTTTCCCGTCGGTTTCACATGGACATGTAAGGCGCCTGATCTCCGGTCGCCAGGCCCTCTCCAACGAAGGGTCCGAGCGTACAGCTCTGGCCCGCCGTGCAGCTCTGGTTTTGGTCATTGGAGGAGGGGCCTTGCCAGAGATACGTTATTGCACCGGCATGCCTTGCCATGCCTCCAACTCGCTGCTACTCAGCAGTCCGGCCTTTCACCGTCAAAATCCCCGCCATGTTCACGAAGTCAGATGGATCGCCGCAAGAGTTCTGATCGCCCACGCAGAAGCAGAGCTTCCACTGTCCACCGAGTGGGAGATCCCCCGCCTCTCCACCTGTCGGGCCGGGCTCTCCCCTACTGGCCTCACTCGCCTCGGGGGAACGACATATCCAAGGATAGTACAAAAATAATAGTATATTAGTAGTGTAGTATACACCCCCTAAAACACCCCCTCTACATGCCCCCAATTTCTCGGAAACCTGCCAGTGGAACAACCCACGCGGAGTCGACTGCGCGATGGCCCCCGGACAGGAGCCGCGTGTCAGGGCTGTCCTGCCCACCTGCTTCAGAGCAGGGTGCACCCTTTCATTTGGCATCCCTTCGCAGCCCATTCCACACAGTAAACAAGAAGTCGGAATGCTTAGCTGGCCACAGATGTTTGGGTCGCCAGCACTGCTGAGCATCAGCCGATCGCCGGCTGCAATACCTTCATCGTCATGCAAATCGCCAATCTGCACAGCTTTTGCTGCTTGAGGCCTCCCATTCTCAAAAAATGCATTGCCATGCTCGCAAGTTGCCCTCGCCATAGAGACGATCCGTGGGTCCTGGCAGAAACATGCACCCGAGCTAGAAGAATTCCCAACCTTGGGATTCTGCTCTAGGTTCCAGAATGGACTGTAACCAGGCTGGACCATTTACGACATTGCGACCAAGTCCAAAACCAGCTTGCTCATCATGTGTCAGCCACCCTCTCTACCTGACTGTGATGCTCCAAGGGTCCTGCAATCGTCACGCCCCAGTTGGTGGGAGCGGTCGTCGCAACATAACTGCTGCTGCCGCCAACATTTGCCGACACACTCTCAGTGCCACCTATCCTTGGCTACCAAACGGAAGACAATAGATTCCTCAGTAGACGAAAATGTCTGGAATGTGGCCGCATCAGCAAGCACAAGCAGGAAGCATGGCTGTGGCGGCAGAACATGGGCACTCAATGGGCACTCAAGCACTACGAGTCAACTACCTATGTTCATGCTCCCGACTTTTTACGTTTTAAGATGTACTGCTACTGCCTGAACAACACGGGCCCGACACGTGGCCCTCTTCAGGCGAAGTAGGAGGGGCCCCCTTGGATGGGCATCCGAGGTACGAGCACGGGGCACCAGCCACACATGCAAAATCCTGCAGCAAGTTGGTTCACTATTCAGCACTGGACGTACCTTTGCATACCATACCTGTCCCGGCCATGGCTGAGCCAGAGTTTTTCCATGTGCAGAACCTCCCCACTGCCAGTTCGTGTCGTTGCCATGCACTTGAGCTCTGATAGCCCTGCCTTTGCCCATGACCCGACATGACTCATGAACAACACTGCTGAACTTTAACATTGTGACTTTCCAGCTCCTGGGCGAAGAGCCCCGCCACCACCAACGTCCCAGCGCTGGCAGCGAAGTCCGCTGGGTCGTCGCCTCGACAAACAGAGTCGTGATGAATTATTGTCGGTGGTAGCAGGGTGCCACAAGTAGTGTGCCACGGCCAAGGGGCAGCTCCCATGGTTGGCAGTGCAGTAGCAGATGTGCCATGATCCTCCCTGGGGCAAGTCCGCAGAAGTCAAGGATGCCTGCGAGGCATACGAAAGTGGTTCTCGGCCACATGACTTCACGACCGCTTACACCCTCCAGCCTGGACTTGTGCGAAAAGCTGCGTGCTCAGCTGCACGGGCTGGTACTGCCCATTGCCTCATGTGGTGCAAACTTCACTTCGTTGATGTTTCGGGCTTCGGTGGGCTTGTGAGCCGTGAGCAGGAGCATATGGGAGCATGTGATGCGCATAAGATTCACTTAACCAGTTCCCCAAAGCTTCACCAAGCAGCCAATGACAGGGCGCTGGTTGGAAACGTATTCGTTCCCAGTCAAGCGCGTGTCCTCGGCAGCGTGCTCGTCTGACTGCCCGACTTCAAACGCCCTCTTTCGCTGATTCCAAAGCTTCCAGACGGTATATCTTATCCAACTATGCAAAGGAGTCAGCCGCGCAGCATTTGCTTACCCCCTGATGCACAGACTCGCCTCATCAATTGCTAGGATGCCCTTGTATGTAAGCTGCCGGCTGCGCTCGGCTTCTTATCTGACAGTATCTTCCCCAACATGCCAGCAAGCTTCCCTGTCAGTGACACCACATTCGCCGCCGGACCGAATGAACGCAACCTGCCAGGGAGAGCTTGTAGAACGCTCCCTCACTTGTCCTTCTCACGTCCTCACTCGCTCCGCAATCCACACGCGCGCCTGATCCGAGGGCCCTAGGCCTTGGCCCTGAAAGGTGACGTTGCAGGGTTTGCCGGCGTAGCAAAGCTGGTCCTGTTTTGCAATGCAGGCAGATGCACGCAGAGTCGTACACTGGCCGGCTGTGTCAAGGTCCTGCGTGCTAGGAGTCGGACCCAAAACCTGAGATGATTCGACGCCACTCTCGGAAAAGCCGCAATCGAGCGCTCTACAAATGCCTTCAAAGCATCCAAACACATCTTACGCCTGTGAGGTCTTTAGATGGCAGGTCCGTTGAACTGGCTGTTCGGCTGAGCAACCGTAAGCATGCCGGCAAGCGATGTGAAATGTTGCGGCAGAAGGCAGCCTTTCAGGTTACGGTAGCGTGGTAGCACGATGGCACGGTCCGAGCCATTCCCAAGGCCTTCGTAGCCGGCACAATAGCACATCAGCCACTGACCACCCACCTGCATAGAAACAGAAGCGCTCCTTTTTGGAGTGACTGCGGGGCTAAAGATGATACATGGGCTCTAACAAAGGCTCGAAGGGACACGGGGCTCGTCACGTCAGGTATCGGAATGTACAACGCGAGCAATAGCCAGTGTACGCACTCGCGCATTGTCTAGAATTGCAGAACCACATGCAGCTTCCACGTCAAAGGCCCTGCCGGAAGATCACTTCGAGAGCCCGCGGCAAAAAGCAGCTGCCCGCGGCCATCTGCCAACTTGAGCATGAGCTGACAAGGACATGGTGAAGATTCGTTTGAGTTCCTGTGGCCATTTCAAGAAGGTACTGAGCCAGCGTGAAATTCTGTCCCACAGTTTCCTGGATCTTCCTCAAGCCTGAGATTCCAAGCAAGATGACAGCCCGCCTGAGAGAAGGGTCACTGTTTTGGGGCCATCTCGCGCAATCCGATAGTCGAATTCTGACACTCCGCAGTCGGCCGAGACACCATTCCTTAGGCAGTCTCAGCCCGCGAGTCACATGGTCCAAACTCATTTTGGTGGATGCTGTGTGCTTCTGCTAACGAGACGCTCAACAAAAATCACGCGGTCCAGGGAAGACAAAGACTCGCCCGTTATCCTTGGTCAGATGGGGAGCTGCATTTTTCAAGACATCCGGGCGTGTCCATGGTGACTCTCTCAGCAGGCAAGACTCGTCACAGTGCAACTGGTCCCTGCTGTGCATGTCGCATCCTGGCGAAGACATCGTCTCTGCAGAAGAACAGTTGCAGAGCTCACAGAGCCTAGCACAAAAAGACAAAGGGCCTGGTCGTTGGGTGAGGGCCCTCGAACAGTCAGCCGGCCAGCGATGCTATGAAACTCCGCGGCAGAGTCGCATGCACCGGCAGAACTCCTGGCCGAACTCGTGGTTCTGCTCGGCTCCGACTGTGACCTGTGCTCAAGAAGCAGGCACCCCTCCTCGTAGAAACGGCCGTCGAGTCGTAATCTGCACAGTAGCAAATGCTCCACCTTGGGTCCACAAAACAGCCTCCAACTCAGCACTCCTCTCTAATCGGTAGAACCAAACCACACACCGAGCATCTGGACGTGGCTAACCGTTTCTGAGTGAAAGATGTGCAGTTGAACATGCACTTGTGCACACAGTTGCACACTCATTCTTGTTAACACATGCATGTATCGGTGTATGTATGCGTCGTATTTATGCATGCGTGGATAGCCTCGAGCCTGCTTGGCCGGCAAATATGTCGGCCATACATACGTACGTACATGCACACATACTTTCCTTGCTGACATATATACACCCATCCATCCATCCATCCCACAGGAAGACGGAGGAGAGTCACATCGGGGAGTGAATCCAGTCTTGAATGGTCGTAGAATATTTTGGTTCACTACATAATATAACTAAAGCTTAAAACTAAATATACTAAATAAGACGTGCAGGGCGATAGCGGGTTCCTTTCCCTTCTTTCCACAGCTACAGATAGAGAATGAGGCACCCAATGCGATTTGAAACTGGTGAAATCTGACATGCTGCAAGACATCCTACAAAATCAAGGGTTCGAAACGATACTTAAAATCATATGATGCACTTACAATTGCCGCTGCAATTATCATAGTGCGTCCTCCCGGAGAGCCAGCTTGCACATGTATGTACACACCACATACACCTGTAAGGACCATTCCAACAACTCCCGGATCAAAAAACTTCACATGACCTGGAAGAGCTAGGACAAAAACAAAAGGGCACAAGAAAGCATGTGCTTCTCAATAAGCGCATGCCACCGGCCGCCCCGAGGGAGGTCTGACTTGGACAAGAGGACGACCATGCCGGCTGTCACGTTCACATACCTGCAGAGGCTCGGACAGGCTTAGACGAAGCCACTGTCAGCATTTCACAGCTCAGAGCGTTGATTCGCAGCTCTGGCAGGTGGCTCATGGAATGAAGGCTGCTCAGTCTTGTGTGATTCGCACACAAGTTGCACGGGAGCAAATGCCAAACGCGGACAACACAAGAAAGCTTGTTCCAAACACTCGGCCGTTGGTGCAAGTGACATCCAGTACCCCGCCCAGGTCTCAACCACAGAGCAGCCAGGAGGCTGCCCCTGTGCCATTGTGTAGGCCGCCAGGCTGCGGCTGTCGAGCGTCGCCCCCGTGTAACTTGCCCCATTGCCTTGTTCCTGGGGTTCTGAAGCTGAAGCTGGGCACAATGCTTCCAGTTGCCCTGAAAACCCTCTTCTAGCTCGAACTTCCGAGCTGCATCATCCCTCCCCTGCGTCTGGCAGTTGCCCCGGCTGTCCATGGCGACCTCCACGAGGCCAGCAGAACCATAGATCCTAGGCAGAGGAATGAAGAGAAAACTCGATGGACCCCAAAGCCTCCGGCCTGTCAAAATTGCTGCCCAAGCGTCTGTCGGAGGACGAAAGCAATGCGGTTGCCAACGGCCAGACCCTTCACAAGCGAATTCTACTCTGAGTTTCCATGGGCGTGCGACCCTTTCACACCTTCGGATCCCGGCCTGACCATGGAAGGTACCGAGGACACAGGGGACTCCCGCCGTGCAGACCTGGTCCTCGCCACCCATGGGACCTGTGCCGCGACATGCAGCAGTGTCGTGTCACCCGTAACGCCGGTGCAAGGCCTGCCTCGTACAACCACGGTGCCGGCAGCATGGGAAAACTCCGCATCCTGGGTACAGAAGGTCGCCGCATCTGCATGCGCTCCGGCGGCAGCGCTGTAGTCAGCACAATAGCAGACCACATATCGGCCGGCCTCACGGTGCGCAAACTCTGGGCCCAGCGCGCGAACTCACAAACCTGCTTTGCGAGCCATGGCTTTTCATCGTCCGGGCCTCGGTGGCCTCCGCCAAGTCGAAGCTGCGGTAGCTGGAGTTTCCGCTGGTGGCCGCAACACGGCTCGCGCCAAATTCCGTAACAACAACACTGAAGCCACAAAGCCCAGATGAACGCACCATCTGCACATGGCTGTCGCCTTGGCAATCTCAAAGCACAGCCCTCTTTGCAACTTGTGAAGCCGCGATTGGCAGCAGCAACTTCTGGACATCACATGCAACTTCGTGCTTACCATCCAGCCCTGTGGCGCCATGCAAAGTCCGGATCAGGCAAGAAAGAAATCGAATGGGTTTCGAGAACAGAATAGCAGTACTACTATAGGCACCAGCACCAGTGCTACCAGTAGCAAGAATAAGTTGCCGGAGAACATCGAGAGCTGAATGCGAGTTTGAGCCTTGTGCAGGCTGGAAGTTTCTCCTCGAATCAAAACGTCCGTCGAAAGGTATTGCACCATATAGCCACTCACGAATGCGGCCCGCCTTTGCTAAAACTTAAAGAGGCTAGGCGCATCAAGCGCCCTTCCGTGTGCTAAGTTGCTTTCACGTGCGGGCAAGGCTTACCTCGTTGACCACGTGAACACGACGTCTGAAAAGGATAATCTTTTCTGTCGAAAGGTCTTGCACAGCTTCGTCTACTGTTGCTAGCGGGGCCGGTGTGCGGCTTCAATGCTACATTCGTGCAGCCGCAACGTCGCTTCGCTTGTGAGTCGCAGTCACCCGGGAAGTCTGCATATGCAATCGATTGCAAGATGTCCCTGTGCGGCAAGGCAAGGCACTGCTACCACCATTACCAAAGCTGCTGATCTGTTCCTGCAGTGTTGGATCGCTCGATTTCAACAAGACACGCTTGGAGCTTGACATACTTGCCTAAAGGTGCAGGTGTGTGGGAAAGTGTTGTGGCGGCAAAAATGGTTGCAGCAAGCTGAAAGTGCACGTGCGTTCAACTACCGGGATTGCGCGGATTGCTGCAAATGAGTTCGTCGGACAAACGTTGTGTAGCGTCTTGGGCCCACGCCGTCCAGCGAGAAGCCCAACCTCGGAAGCTTCGCATCTCTCCCAAGAGGTGAGCTGCTGGGATGTGGGACTAAGCTATCTTTTCGGCAAGGGTCGCATCGACGGAGCAATTCACATCCTGCAAGCCGCTCTGCCGCGAGGTTTCTGCAACCGTTTGTGAACTGACGGAGGGCATCTTCTGCTCGACATTCCTATGACTAGAACCTGCCTGACACCGCAAGCCAGACGAAATGATACCTCCCGGCTACGGATGGCTCAAGAAAACCCAGTCACAAGGAGTGCCGCAAGTGCCAGGGCTTCCGCAGTCCTTGACGCAAGCATAGCTCTGTGCGCCGAAAGCCCCGCGCACTTCGAGGGAGCCAGCCTGGCACAGCTCCGCAATAGCACTGGCCATGTGTCGGTGTGGCACGATAGCCAACCCACCTCGTGCGTAAAGTCGGAGTCCGATGAGCAACTTAAGAGGTCTTCGTCGGGGCCATCATACGATGCACAATAACCTCGGGGAAGTGCAGCTTCAAAGAAACTCCTGTGCTGCACTGTCTCTGAAAGCCTGAGCAGCCGGCAGACAGTGAAGAGCATTGGCGTAGTGAAAGCGAAGCCAAGCGAAAATGTACGTGCGACGTCAGACCCGGAGCCAGCCGTTGAGGGAAAGTCTGCCACCGCAGCGGCAGATCCGCAAACAGCCCCATAGGAGATGACCCGCACACGATCCTCAGCTAAACACACTGGAAGCCGATCTGAGTCGCCCCAGCTCCAGAACAGTTCGCTCGCTCACTCCGAGCTTCAGCTTGGCGGAGGAATGTCCCAGCGACTGTGACCTCGCAGGGGCTCCCCCGGTGGCACCGGTACGTCTCGCCACCGGCGGCCCCCGGTACCGTCAGTGTTGCGGCTTCATGTGAGAAGTCCCGGTCTGCGCAAGCATGCTGCAGGTCGAACCTAAGTTGCGACAAAAAAAACCCAACACCCTCCATAGCTTTTGCAAGAAAGCATGCAAGAAGTGCGACCGGGAAACTTTGCGCAATAGCAGAGCGTGTAGACCCCCTCAATCAAGACACGACCCAGCTCGAATGATCGTGACAGGCCAAAGCCCGCCAACGACCGTGGCCGAACTTCCTTCGGGTGTTATCTTGTATCTCGGGCCCTACCATCTTAGGGAAACCGGATGGGGGCTTCGACGTCTTTCAACCTGCCTCCGCTGCTCCTGTGAATGAGGGCGTGCCAAGTGCACAGGCACTGCCGTCGGCACTGTAACTGATCAACGAAACCTGCCCGGGCGGATGTCCAGCTATGAAGCCGCAGCATCGCTTGTCAAATAACAACTGCACTTGGCATCTGCTGAAGCCGTTTGGCATCGGACGCCCCTTCACAACCCGCCACCTCGTCGTCCCCATGTAAGCCAAAGCCAGAGAGCGTGAAGCTGCAGTGCGTGTTCTTCACGCACTCGAAAGCCTCACCCCCAGTAGCACCATGTACCTGCAGATGTGCACAACATCAAGCTCCAGATGCTACCACCAGTGGGCTGGGACACTCGAGAGCCAAAAATCCAATGCCAGGTTGCAATTAGTGCACCCGCACTGTGCGTGAATTCTGCGTCACTGTCGCAGGCAGTATAGGCGCCAGATGCTGCGTCGTAGCTGTTCGTCCTGCGCGGGCGGAGCTACGACCAAGTTCAAGCCGTCGAAGTAAGACCTCTCGCGGCGGGTCCTCTCTGATGTGTCGTAGTTTGCACAGTAGCAGATTTCATAGCGACCGCCGCTGTTGGCAATGCCGAAACTGAAAGCCTGCGCGGTCCGCAAATAAGACTGTGCATCTGTCTGGCACGGGCTTCTTGGACGTTGCGACAACCACTTGACACAGTCGTGCTGGCACCTGTTCATCCGACCACGTGTCCACGGTGCCGGCTGCCTGCCGCATACTACTCATATTTTTTTGCAGCGCATGCTCTCAAGCTGTTAGCTTTAGCACCTCTCCATAACGCATTTGCTGGAAGGCTTCGCTGCTCTGTGGCTTCACTGGCTGGGGTCTACTGGTGTTGGCAAAGCCAGTTCTTCGTGGATCGGCCTGAGGCCGCAGGATGCCGAAGTCGGAAACTGCAGAGGCAGAGCCACAGCGACCGCCAAAGGCGATGGGCCTGATCTGAAACCCGCTTACAAAAAGAAGCTCAATGCTCTTCAATCGCGACACCGCTCGGGAATTCACTGTTGGCCAAGGTGCTGTACATGGTCCCCACTTTGTAGCATGTCCCCAGTGATGTTGAAGGTGCAGAAAGCTCCCTGCAAGACTCAAGGTTGTCGAGCTGGTATGTCTGACTCTACCTTTCATCTGCATCCCTTGTAACAAGATACACTCGTCCTGACTCCCCAAACCCTGTTCCACTGTTGCCCTGCGCAAGCTCCGATACTCGCCCCGCAAAAGCCAGTTACGAAAGGCGTCAGCCCGTTCATACATTTGCCTTCACACAGTGAAATATGTCTGCCGATTCGGCGCCGGAGACCCGCAGCAGACCTGGACCATCAGGGAACCGTTGTATTCTGCGCATTGAGACTCTGTTGGGCTGCTTACGCCATACCACGCCTGCATCCTGGCAGTATTCTGAATTGGAGTTGCACTTCGACACATCGGAGTCGTCCGAGGAGTCATAGGCTGGGCAGAAGCAAACCAGGAAGCTTCCCTCCTGGCAATGCTTCAAGCCGTTTTCGCTCCATTCTCCGGATGCTGGCCAGCCCTGAGAAGTGTATGTATCCACCCTCAAGCGTGACACGGTATGGCCTGGTAAGCCACGCCAAATTCGAAGACGCGTTGAGTGGCGGAGGCCATTAACACACTCGCCGAACTCGGAGAGAGAGCATTCGGAGGAAACTTCAGAACTGCACATCTTGCTAAAAAGCAGGACCGGATGCCACATGTGCTGCGCTGCTACACTTGTCTGACAGAACTCATTGCCCCCCCATCACCGAGGTGCATCCGCCCATTTGGGAAGGTTTCGACAAAGGAGACGTCTGCTCCACATGTGCTTCCGGCCGGCAAAAGTCTCAGTCGCAACCAAATGCAGTCCCCACGACATGCAGTGTTGGTGCAGGTTAAGACCAATGCACGGCTTACTTAGGCTTAGGCTTAGATCTGCAGTCAACAATCTCCTTTTGCTGCTTTGAATTGGCGCGCCATGCTTCGGCCTTTTAGCCATGCGACTCACCCTTCAACCCTTGTCCCGTGCTTTCGACCCCACCGTCGCTCAACAAAACGAGTGGAACTGCAAACCCAACAAGCTTACGACCAGGCTGCTGGACCCGATGAGATTCTGCGAGGGCCTCGGCTTTGCAACAGAAGGAACCCCCCCCGATTCCCGAACAGACGCTGGTGGACCCAAAATGCACCACCGTGGCTACAGCCTAAAGCCAGGCCAGGCTGCAGTCCCCGACACGGCGATGGCGCAGGCTACGTCTTTGACGCAGCGGAAGCTTTGGCCAGGCCTAGCCCATACAGAGCAAAGACGTAAGCAGAAGCCTCAAACTCAAACTCGGCAGCTGCACGTCGCCCCGTAGGTCGATGGGCAGAACGCCACCGCGCTGCCGAGAACCAGCGCTAGGTTCAGCGCGAACCTTGTGGTCCGGGTGCTGACCCGTGACTGGAAAAGGGGGCAACTTAAGTCATATAGTGTGGGAAGCCTCGTCACTCTTGAACATGCTGCGACAAGGCGAGCTCATGTCATGGCGGGAGCAGTCTCATCTGACAACCAAGCCCGGACTCCGTCTAAAAGCCATTTGTTGGGACCAAAAACATGGATTCTGAGTCCGACGTGCAGGAATTTCAAGGGTTTAGTTTGAATACCGTGTTTGCATCGCTGACCCATGTAAATGCTGTGACACTTCTAAGTTTCAAACGCTAACCCCATGCAAAAGCGATGGTCATATGATTTTAGCTTCAAAAATACAACTTAAACTAATTCCCTTGTAGCTCGTGTTCACAACAAGTCCAGCATCTTAGTCCCAGGGTCGCTTTCATCCGAGTCTGTACATTTCCCTTCCATTGTCACTCGGCGGCTCCAGCTCCTGGTCGCACTTTCAGAAAGGCGTGCAAGAAACAGAGACATGCGACATGTACCAGAACGGGGAGAAGAAGAAAACGAAGACAACTGAGAAAAACCAGCTGCGCCTGCAGCATCAACTCAAAATCACGAACTGCATCTAGACAAACGAGGCCACGGCAACAAGAAGATGTACGGCGTAAGTACAGATGTCTTCACAGTGTGCTCCACTCGTCCTCGAAGCACATGAACATGAAGGCCAAAGGCCGTCTGGCATGGCACGACATGGATGGCTCGCCGGACGAGACTGAGCAATGTATTGTACGTTGAATATCTTAAAAACCTTGTTTGTCGCGGCTGCCCTGCTGCTTAATGGAACTCTGGCTGCTCGCGTGAGGCTCGTGTGCTGCGCTAGTTTCCTCAGCAGAAACAGTTCAATGGCAATCGGCCGTTCAAACCACGTCACTACACTTTGTCATCTAGATCTTTCCCGAGAAGCTGGTTCAAATCATGCATGGCCAACTGCATGCTTTATTGCGTCAGTACCAGCCTGGCCAGACGAACGTCCACCAAGATACCACAACAGGGACTACCCGACCAAGTAGAAGAACAAAGTCAAGAACAGCAACTGATGAGCGCTCACACCGCTTACCACAGCTACCATCATCACTATAACTGTCACTGTCAACGGACAGATCGTTCTGATTATCGCGGACGGTCAACCGCCCTGTTCATCCTCGAACAAACATCCGCTGACATCCGGCCCATCCCGGTGGAAAGGATCCGGCTTGCTCCACATCCTGCAGGCCCGTCTCCACAAAGGCCTGCCGCGCATCGGCCGGGGCCTGGAAAGTCCACGAAATGGAAGGGACTCCCAAAACATCCGCTGAGACGGCCATCTTACATGCAAAGACAATGAACATCATGGCCATGATATTGAAGACTACGGCCTAGCAAGAAAACGGGGCAAGCGCGGCCATGGCATCAGCATCTGCAACTATAAACAATAACGCAAAACATCGACTGGCGAAGGTGAAGCAGAAAAGGTTGACAAAACCGAAATTCACCTGCTACACACGCACAAAACTGCTCCCTAAACTTGAGGCTGGGAGTTGTGATCAGCCCACGCGATCTCGACAGTGTTACGATAATGGAAGCTTAGTTCAATCCGTTTAGTCTTCAAGGAATCCCGAGGCGCCAACTCTCGAAGAGCCGCAGCCCTGAAAGGCGGCAAGATGACACGCCATGACCAGGTGCTGCTCAAATTCGTCTGCAACGCATCCACACACCCCAGACTGTCTTCGGCCTCATGCAGCTCAACACTGAACGCCCAAGTGGCCCAATGCCTGGGTCGCAAGCCGCCGAGCCTACCACAAATCGCACTTTTGTCTCGCACCCTGTAACACCGGGTGACCGCAGCCAAACATCACGAAAACAGACGTTTGTCAAAGCCGTTGCGCCTTGCCCTCGGAAATAAGAGCGTGGCACCTCATAAGCCAGCACGGCACTTGCAACACCGAGGAAGCCAGCCGCAACCTGAGCTGGGAAGCCAAACTGCAACCATGCTCACAACATGGTACATGCCTTGGCTCAGTCAAACCCCGAGCCCGCAGCTGCTGCAATGTAGACATCATGTCGCGTCACACGGACGAGAATGATGGCGTAGAGACTTGGACATGGACAATGAACATGTGTGTGACAGAGGTCTCAGTTCAGTTTTCTGCAATCACTGCTATTCATTGCTATTCCATTGAGCTCCGCACGCTGCCACTCCAGCCAAACTCAGCTCACCCACTCACAAAGCACACACAGCAATGAAGCTGCTGCTAGGGGTTCGCTGCACCACTGCAGTTTTGCTCTGTTTTCCATGAAGTTTCCATGCGGCAGGGCGGGTAGGGAGCAAGCCTGGATTTTAGCAACGAGTCGAATCATTAGCCTCGAATGCCGTCACCTTTTTCGTCGCACTCTCTTCTCGAGCTGCGAGACAGGATGCCCGGCGGGCCGACCCCCGAGCCACTTCTGGGTGGCCCACAGAGTGGCATACCACAAAATCTGACCTTAATGCACATGATCAAACAAAAACAGGACCGCTCGACTGGGCTAATCCGGACCTACGTACTACTCAACTCACCCCATCACATCTCTCTGCTCACCTCCTGGCTGAACTTGGCGGTCGGGTATTGCATGTCATCGGCTTGTAAGACAGCAGCAAAAAACTAGGCCACCATCACAACATAGACTGCCCCCGCTCAGGAAACCCAGAAATCTGACCAAGCTGGTATCGACTCCTCCCCGCTGGCGGGACCGTCCGCTGAGCGACTTCCAACAAGGCTGCGCGTGGCTTGGATCCACACGCTGCAAGCTTGGAAGTAGCAAAGCACCGGCGCCGGAACCGAGGGGTCCCAGTATCAGATCCCAGCCTGACATCAAAGCAGGTATGAAACCAAACCATATAACAACGGCAAACATGCCAAACTGTCACATCTGAAGAAGCAATACTGAGAATCTCAAACGCAGGCTCAAGTACTGTTGCGGGTGATCATTGAATAGGTGGAAGCTTCTTTCTAACTTCTACCACTAAGCCGCAACAGTTCCAAGCGCAACGGCTTTGCACAGGTTGTGTGCCCCCATGCATGAAAATAGTTTACGACAACTCCAACTCATGTTCAAGACGAGGCCAAGCCCAGCTCGACCACTGTCACGGCACATGTACAAGCTGCCAATACAAGCCCAACTAGAAACTTCAAGTCGGAACTCCACACCTTCCGTGCACCCACACGCATTTGGATCGTGTTGGGCGCATTATTGCGCGGCACTTGCCTTGTCGTGGTTGGTCGTGGTGACACTGCTTACGGGTGCACCAACATGCAACAAACACCCTGGTACGAACTGCATCTCGCACGATAAAACTACAACTCCAACAGTGTTGAAGCTGATCGTAAATAAAATACATATTGAATTGAATGGCGGCGCTCACGCCCTACTACTCTTCTATGTTGCGACTTTAATGGCATCGTCTGCGCATGAGATCCCATTGAAGCTATGAACCACGGCCAGCACCGTGATGCGCCTGCCTTGCGGAGCTCCCGCAGTATGCGCTGCTAAGAACAAACCACCTGCAGCAACAAAGGCTCAATTTGGAAACACCCAAGCTGCTGTTTGGGACGCGGCCAACGCTGCATAGAGACCTCATGCAAGCGAACAATATGTGCTTTCAAAAACCCTAAGTCCTCACCATCTACCTCTTGGCAAGATATTTTGCCTTTTCTCCACTAAGCAGACGGCATACACAACGAGATGGTCATGCGTGCCCAGTTTTTGCACCACATGACAACATGGTGTCTGCAGTTTCCGAATTGAGAAGCTGCCAATTACGTACATAACAGCAATTGACCATGCTAAAAAATGTAAGCGTTCCTCTGCTTCCGACTTTGGTGACCAAGCTTTTGCAACCGACATGTGTTTGTGCAATCACCCATGCAACTGCATTTGCAAAACTTTGCGGCAATGCTTGTAGTGCTCATTCTGCACACAGAGCGGGCTGCAGGCCACCTAAACTGTAAACAACACCATTACCCACATCACAGGGGTGGGCGCGAGAAACCCTAAACCCAACACCTACCACCACACCATAGGGGACGAGGGGGAGGAGGTTTTGTCAACACCAAGGCGACGGTCTACGGCAAAGAGGCTCCGCGCAGCGGGCTGGGCTCACATGAAACGGCTGGCGAGTGGGGGCTGGGAAGGAGAGTCAGCGAGGATGTCGCTCGAGGGTGGCAACTCACCGTCAACATTGGCCGTGCCAGTGAGGGGTAAAAACAGCAAGCTGAGCAAGCTGGCTGCGAAAGAGCGCGCGGCCGCGAAGGAAAGAAGCGCAGACCAGCGGAGAGTGTGTAGGCCGATATGGCGGCTGCACGTGAAGGTAGCGGCGAAGACCGCGCCCGGCACCTTGCCAGCAAGCGGACAAAGGTGGCGGCCTCAGCACTCCAACGCCCCCCAATCTCAAGAGCCAGGACTGTGAGCCGGCAGCGGTTGGACTTGCACAGTTCGGGGTACGTGCGCTCTTTGGCACGTCTCGCGGTGAGCAAGGCAGCTCCGGCAGCACGACCCCCAGCTCTGCGTGGGAGGCCGGCAGCAGTGAGGGGGGAGACGAGCATTGTGTCGACTGCGAGCTGGGCGCCACCCGACAACGGCAGGCCAGTCTTGGCATGTGGCGAGGTGGTCGCCGCAAGGATCGAGGTATGCACGGCAACGGACGTGGCAGAAGCCAATGGCAGGGGCAGCCGAAGTCTGCGCAACAGGATGGCTCGGAAGAGCGGTGACTCCAACGAAAACTCCGGCAGGGTGGGACGGGTGGCGAAGACCCGCGCAGCATGAGGCCCAGCCTGCGAGTCCAGCAGGGCGGCCGAGGTAGTGTCGGTCTCACGAAGGAAGGCCCTATGGCAAAAGTCGTCAAGGGCTTGGGACGCCGGGTGCTGCCATCCACGAGGGAGGTCAATGGAAGTCCGCCCAAGCGCGGGGCTCGAAACCGATGGCAGCAAGCGAGTCGCTGGCATTTCGCGCTGATTGCAAGGCCAGCGGGAGTGGGCGGTCAGAGGCAACAGAGGTGGCGACTTCATGCGCAAAGTCGGGGTCGTGCCGGGCTATAGCACGCAAGGCGTCGGCCCATGAAGCTTAGTAAGCAGCGGGCGCATGCCGTGTCGCGCTGCGCAAGCCTCGACGATGTCACCATCCTCGCGTCGCCTCAGCGAACACCACACACGGCTGCGTCTCACTGTCGCGGAAACTGCCTTTTGGGCTGAGGCTGGCGTCGCCCCTGACGGCCTGCAAGATATCCTGTCTGACGGTCGCGTGTGGTTCGCTGACCAGGAGCTTGAACCCACATCCCGCGGATTGGTGTTGCTTGGCACTCCCTTCGGTTTGCCGCAATTCATCGCAAATCACCTCTAGTCTTTGAGTACTCGACACAGGGAATTCTTGCACATGTCGCCGCGCATTGGTGACACGCAGGTCGCCTGGCTGTTGCTGTTATACACCGCGGCGCCCGCGCTCACGCGTGAGTTTGCGGTTGCACATGATGCGGCTGTGCTCGACACCTTAAGCGCATTCTTTTGTGCTTCCTCGTTCCTACCTGCTGCCTCCCGTTTCCACAATTTGCCTGGCGTCACGGCGGCCTTGGCCTGCGTAGTGCCGCGTTGCACGCGCCAGCTGCTTTTTGGGCGTCGTGGGCTGATGTATTCACTGTTCTGTCCGTTCGGGAGGCACCCTTCCTACGAGGTTTGGCACGAGTCTTGGATATTCGCAACCTCTCGCCGGCACTCCGATTCGGGACCTGCTCGAAGCCACTGACGTGCTCGTCGCAGCCGGCTTCCGCGCCCCCGTTTGGGCTGACTTGCCCCAGCATGCCCCTGCGCAGCCAGCCGACGACGCTGAACCAGAGGTCGCCTTGCGTGGCTGGCAGCGCCCTGCTTCTAGAGTCCTTGATGACGTTGTGTCGCCGAACATCGCCGCAGTGTTAGCCCTGCCGAGCTCGCACTGTTGGACTCACAGTCGGGCCCATTTGCAACCAGCCATCGACTCGGCCCCTTTCTGCGTGTTACTGCTCCGCCGCCTCCGACTTCCTCTGCCGCTGGCCCCAGCCCGCTGCCGTTGCCGACACCCGTCGGATGTGTTGGGTGATCATGTCGCAGCTTGTCCCCGGTCCGGCACCCTACGTCAGCGAGGTGGGCCGCTTGAA